TAAATACCTCGGAGATTCCCTTCATTTTTCATGAATCTTGCTCTTCTTATGATAAGCTGTGGACTAATGGCAGTTTCTGGGCTATTGCTTTGAATGTGGTCAATGATGTCCATTGTAGTCTTGGTGTCTCCATGCCAATAGAGAAACCTATCCAGAACAAAAGTAATGGCTGCCAACTTCTTATAATCACCCTGAATGTAGGCATGGTATARACATTCCTAGAAAAACAATATCAATGAATGTGTCAATATATTTAATTGAGCTATTAATAGTTATAACATTATTATTTATACTTATCCTATAGCTACTTTTGTATCACTGAACATTTTCCAACAGTTATCAACTCTAAGGGCTGCCATGATGACCAATAGCGAAAAAAATTTGAATATTATAAAATAGGGGTGGCAAATGGTAAAATCTGAGATCCGCTGAGACGTCGAGATCGCTGCTTTAAAATCTGAGACCAAGATTTTAAAAATTTCCAAATTCCAAGAAAGCGAGATTGAATTTTTCCTAAAATCCAAGAATTGAGACCAATGTGTCTCTTCTTGTTTATCRAGTTAACACAGCAAAAACATTGATTTAGAACGACTATGCATTGGAAAATTCTTATAAATCAAAGCTTTCTAGAGCATGCATTTCAAAATCCAAGATTCCGAGATCTTGTTTAAGAAATTCCGAGATCAGAGGCGAAAAATCTGCCCAAAAAAAACAAAATTCGAAATCCTTTTTTGGGAGTCTGAGATCTTGAGATTCTACGAAAAATTGCTGAGACCCAGTTTTTTCTAGGTACCATTCATCACCCCTTAAAATACAAGCATCCTATGGATCCTYCTGTACCCTCTGGATTAGAAACAAACCTGTAGTATATCGTATTCTGTCATAGATGGGACATTAGCATTGACAGAGGTTATCAATTCCTTGACATTGTAATTTTCTTTCTCACCAACATCTTTGACATATTGCCTGAAATAAAGACAAGTATAATAGAAAATGTCAGAGTGCAGTCATAGTGTTTAATAAAGTATGATGGGAGTTGAAGCCCTCACACTTTTTCTAGGACCTAAAAAAATTTCACAACAAGTCATTTTACACAACATTTTACAACTACACACTACTAATCTATTTCTGAAAAGAAAAAAATATTAAATGGCTTGGAGAAATACAACATCCCATCGCATCATGCATGCTTTTGCGGCACAAAACAGTATCACAGTGACTGCACAAATGCCTATCTGGTTACAATATATTAACTATAATATTGATAAGTACCATTTTTCTGGCACAAATGCCCAAGCATTGTCTTCAGCTTCCAAAATCAGCCTTTGAAGTGTGATTGAAACTAAAGACAACCAAACCATAAGGACATCAACACCAGATGTCTCCTCACTACTGGAAGACATTCTACTCTTCATATGTTTCTTAACAGTTGGATGAACATAAATACACTTTAGAAAGCTACTTGAAGTCTCTGGCTTWACACAAAGAAGTTTCATCTTCACAAGTTCTTGAATACCAGGATGTTCAGTCATCATGGGAAGAGGTTGACGGAGAGAGCAAAGCCTGTAGACCATCCCAATACTTGATTCATTCAAAAATTTACTGATCAACCCTAAAATTTTTTCCACAACCCCAGGTGCCCTGGCATTTCTACAATTATTTGAAGTGTCATCCCTTGTTAATAAAGATGAAATGATATTTTCCTCTTGAGGATTTAAGGCAGCACAGACCAGTTGCATTGCAACAGGATTACAATTGACCAAATCATAGAGCTTAGATAGTTCATCCTCTGTTAGTGTTAGTTGTTGGAGTTCTGTAGAGACTAAGTTTCTTGCAGCAGAATCAAACAGACCATTGACGGTTACATTGGACACAACATCATCTGAAGGTCTATCACGGTCTGTTTGGTTTACAACTAGAAAACTTGTGATCTTGCATGTCTTTAAAACATTACCAAGAAAAGAATCAATAAACTTAAGACAGAGATCTGCATTATCAATGCATATAATTTTAAAGTGCTCCTCAAAGAATTCACCCAGACTGTTTTTCTTAATTTCTATAACATCTGAAAAAGATTGAGCAAACAAATCCTTTTTTGCGGAGTCATTTTGTTCTTCAGCACACTGTACCATGAGATGCCAAAACTCATCCTCTTTGAAACCTTCATTCACAGAAAGAAACAATATCTCTGACTCTGTCACAACATTGGTCCTGCAGAGCTGTTGGCAAAGACCTTGCAACAATGTTGAGCAACCGCTTCCAGGCTCTCCATTGATATAGTAGACTCTAGAGTTGTCTTTGTTGTTCTTTATAGTTTGTAAAATACTATGCAAGTCACTGCTTAGATCCAGTTGCCATATCTGTTCATGGGCTTCTGGGTTGAAGTCACTTGTTTCAATATGGATTATAGACTGCTGGAAGATCTCCATCGAATTTTAATACTGGAAATGCTTTTGTTTAGGAAATTCTCCGTAGTTCTTAGAAAGACATATCACCTTCATATTATGCAGTAATATTTGGTTTCTTTCCAGACCAATGAAATCATTTCCTGGGAATAAAAGATCATTAATAAATATTATTAATAACGAATTATTTTCACTCATTATTAAGCTTATATGCAATCATTATGAATTAATGGGAAATCGATTGTAGAATACTGAATGGTCTCTATGAAGCAAAAATGCACACAAGAATTTTAAACTAAGAAGCAGGTACGTCTTAGTACCTACCATAACTTCACATTCGTCATGTGAGCCAAGTGGTATTTCACTTCTGTAAACATCATCACATGCATGACCCCGGAAACTGCATTCATTATTTATTAACTTACWTTACATGGATTTAACATTTCGAAAAGGTACAAATTAAAATATCGTATCAAGGAGTCCAATTCTGTATCTTTTAACGAATTCACAGCTACACTGTGAATTCTACCACTGCAAAGGAAGCATTTTCACTGTGTTATCGTGAAGAGATGTCGAAGTTGGTTGAAGAAGTTCCTGAGGGCGACGCTCATAGAAGACTGGCACTGGCACAGGCAGCCCATTGAAGGAAAAAACTATGCAAGGACTGTAAGGTTAACTAATCATATCGCTAGAGAGATACAGATCTAGAAGATTTGGCAGTTTTGCACTATAYCGTCTAGTGTCAATGAATGTAAACTGTATTCTTATAACCATCTTCCATCTCTCCAAGAAGAAGCTGTCAACAAAAACATCACTAGCTAAGACAACCCCGTTAAAAACTGCTGTACAGCGAGTTGTAACGTGACTATTCAGTAGTCTATCCTGGATCAACGTCCGGGATTAAGGTGCACTGTACACCAAGATGTTAAATCATCTAGTCAYTTGGAGTATTTTCGCAGGGTTTCTTTGCTTGGCTGATTCTTCTCCGCCAAATGTAGTGATGTTTGTCATTGATGATCTGGGCTGGAGTGACGTTGGTTTTCATAATATTTCTCCGATWAAAACACCRAATATYGACGAACTMGCCCAYGAAGGAGTCATCCTGCAAAAYTACTAYGTGCAGCCTATTTGCACTCCAACKAGAAGTGCATTAATGAGTGGAAAATACCCTATTCACACAGGTAAGATTGTGTTGAATGTAAGGATATATGAAAATGACGTGAGGTACTTGAAATCAACTGCGAAAATGGAGAGATGAGAGGGTGTTTTAAATGAGGATGATGGAATTAGTGACTGTTTAGATATAGATGTATCGTGTATAGCTTTGATATGTTTAAATAGGAATCTTTATCTTGAAGATTGGGGCGTAACTTTTTTTGTAAATATCGTTTAGTGTGTCACACACTCTACAGCGTGACTAAATTTAAGTCACACAATCTTAGACCGAACAATCTGAGATTACTCTAATCATTTATTCATTATATTTCCGCTCTTATAATGGTCTCATATCCCTCACATGAAGTCGGCATATGAAACGAATCCCATTTCCCAAGTACATATACATTTGTGAAACCTTGTTAATCCGGCCACGTAAGGGAGGGCTGGCAGTTAAACAGAGCACAAAACTACGAGAGTTTAACTAATTCGCCGGGACAAAAAAAAACTGACGGATCGCCAAGTGTCCGCATATTAAGATGGCCGTAAGGCGGGGTTGCATTGTAGTTGGACAGCTCGTTGTGCTCAAATTTTTAATCACAATTACGATGTTCTATATACCTCTTCCATCCCATTTCCAACATGTCCAATGAAATAGAAACAATTTTGCTCAAAATTGTTTGAAGGGATTCATCCTTTGAAGTCATAG